TGATAGTCTAGCTGGGGATAAAAGTATGCTCATGAAAGTGATGACGATTTCTCACACAAAGAAGGATTGACAGGACAAGGAGCCTCGGGTCTAGAACATCTGGAAGCTAGAGATGGGATGGAAACAGCCCTAGACAGAGAGCCCACAGACCCGGATCCCACCCCTGGCTTTGCCACCGGCATCCTGTGGGACATTGGGCAAGTCCCCTCAGCCTCCTCACCTAAATGGAAGGGTTGTTCCTGAGGATGTGAAAGCCTCCTGCTCCGCTCGATGCTATTTGATTTCAGTGGGGGTGGAGTTAGACAGGGAAGGGACCCTGAAGGAAGTGAGTTTGGGACAGGATCTTGAAGGGGGGAGAGTTAGGGACACTGGAGAGGGAAACACTCACACTGAGAGGTTGCCAAAGTCAAGCAAGGCCAGGAAGCAGTTACTAGCTAGAGATGGCAAGCTCATCTGCTGTTGAATGCTTGGTAGAGATTAGGCTTGGCATGATCCACAATGAGTAGCATCTGGGGCCTCTGGTTATCCAGGATAGATGTGGCCCTAACCAGGAGACCTCTCCCAGAGGCTCCATTTCAGGGAGTCATTGCGCATTGGGCTCCCTTTCTGGCCTCTGGCCTCCCCTAGCTTTGGGAGGACAGTTCAGCAGCCAAGGCCTCCTGGAGAGAAAGAAGTACTTTTACCCCAGGCATGGAGGTCCTCAGATCCCTAGGGTACCATCGTGTCTTCCTTTCTCCCTAGATCCTACGTGGGTGCTATCACCCTTCCCATCTTCTGTCTAGTTCAGAAACATGCAAGCCACGGAGAACCTCAGCGCGACTCTACTTCACAGGACACAATCGAGAACTCTGGTGACAATGACATGGTATCGGACTGAAAGCCCTTAGCCCCCTCGGTCCTGGAGACTTCCAAATCCCACACCTCTTTCTTTCCTTCTCCAAGGCTAGCCAGCCCCCTGAGCCAGGGCTCAGCAAACTTGTCCTGCAGACAAACTTTGCTTGCGGACAACGGCATTCTAATTGCACATCATTTTCGTGTATCACCAAGTTGTAGTTTTCTTTTGATTTTCCCCAACCATTTAGAAGCATCACCACCACTGTGAGCTGGTAAATACCACCATCGGTCGGACTGTACTCGGGCTGCACGCCCCCTGGTTTGCCCACCCCTCACCCAGGTGTTTGCTGCTAGTTCAGCCGAACTTAGACGGTCCGAGCCTTTGCGTGATGTTGGCCTTTCTGGCTAATCTGGCTGGTGCCTCCTAGCAGGCAGGGATGATGACAGCTTTAAGGTTCCCCTAAAGTGGCCTTGTCCTTTCAGTTTTTATCTCTCTCTTCCAAAGTAGCTTGATTGGAGGGTGCTGGAAAGGTATCTTTGTATCCACCCAGCATTCCGTGCAAAGGCGTTCTCTTTTAGTTCTATTAGAATGGCTTCCTCAGGCCAGTACTTTTCCATGCGCTCTCTCTTCCAGCGCTGTGCCCGGGCCCTGCCAAGGCATCCGGGCCTCTACGGGCTCGGGCAGGTCTCACGGCTCTTTTGTTGTCGAGTTCTCAATCCCCACATTGCAGGCGGTCCAGAGCTGGCATCCTTTTTTTTTTTTTTTTTTTTTTTTTATAAAGGGAGACCTTAGACGCTGGGAAAGCCGGGCACGTCCGCCAGAGGCGAAATCCGGGAGGGGAGGGATTTAAAATTGGGCTCAAGACAGAGGGAAGGACAGGGATTGATGAGGGAGAGAGAATTCCAGACAGAAGCGGGAGAGACTGAGCTGCGAGCAGGGGGCAGCGAGGGGAGAATCCCACACGGAGGCTGTTTGAAGCAAGAGGGAGAACATTGGGGTGTCGGCTGGGGCGGCCCAGCAGTGACGGGGTTGGTCTGCTAGATCCCGAGGGCCCGATTCAGGGGGAGCGCGAGGTCACAGTGCAAGAACGCAGGGACCCGACCTCAGGCCTCAGGCCTAACCTCGGTCCTGCGCTGGCTACTCCTTCATCGGTTCCTTCGACGAGCACTCGGCACTCCCAACGAGAGCCAGGCGTGTTCGACGTGGGGAAAGGACCAGGCAGTGAGTGGTTGGGGGAAAGGGGAGGGAGGGGGAATGTCAAATTCCATAAAGATCCTGCCATTTATAAACACAGAGTAGGAGCTATAAACACACACCCACATCCACACAGACACACACACACTTGACACTCAATGAAGAGACTGCTAAATGCCTCATGACAGTGCGGATGAGGAAACTCAGACAAGGGAGAGGTGATGAATAGGGGGAAGGGGAGCTTCGCAGAAGTTTTGTGGGAGAGAAAGCATTTGGGGATGGGGATCTCTGGGCCTGTGAAAGGTAGGGGGCTCTCCAGGTTGAAGGGACGCTGAGCAAAGGGGGTGCAGTGTTGGGGGGCGCAGACAAGAGAACACAGGTTGGCGTGTGTTTTCAATGGGGGGAGGTGTTACTGGCATTACTTTGGGGGCGATTCCTCATAGTGGGGGTCTGTCCCGTACAAAGTAGGTAACTGCTGTCTCACCTCCCCCAGGGCCAGTGACCACAGTGCCCTTCCTCGTGCATCGCCAAACAACACTCCCCACCCCACGGGAACCACCTGGTTGGTTTGTGAAGACAAGCAGCCAACTACACTGTTAGCCTAGAAAAGTAGCCAGCAGTAGCCGGCCCATGGAGAGCCTTGTACTTTATTTTTTAAATGTTTATTTTAAGAGAGAGACAGAGACAGAGAGTGAGAGAGAGACAGTAAGCAGGAGAGGGGCAGAGAGAGGAGAGAGAAATTCCCACCGCGCAGAGCCTGACTCGGGGCTTGATCTCACAGCTGTGAGATCACGACCCAAGCCGAGATCAATAGGCAGACGCTCAGCCGACTGAGCCACCCAGGGGCCCCAAGACCTTGCACTGCATCAAGCAAGCAAGGAATGGCCATCGAAGGTTCTCCAGTGAGGGAGCGGGGCGGGGGGGGGTAGATGAGATCTGTCAGAGAAAATGAAGTTTCGAGTAATGTACAGGATGAACGGAAAGTCTAAGAAAGGCGGGGAAATCTGTGACAAGCTCTGTGACCTTTTCACCCGTGTGATTTTCAACCAGGGTGGGCCGCTTTGCTCACAATCATTGGTTGGATGTCAAAGGTCAAGGGGAGCTCCAAACGTCACATCCTCCTGCTGATTGCCAGAATGACCTCTTAGAATAGTATCTGCTACATCAGGATTTGACTAATATTCCATTGCCTCATCCTGTCTTTCAAACCAACCCACCTGGGAATACCCACAACGCATCCCTTCCTCCATCGGTCCACACTGGCAGAGCGCGTGTAAAGCTAGCAGAAATAAGAAAGAGGCAACCGTTGGGGAATTCCTCTCTCGGCCGCCTGGCTGGGGTCCGCTGCCTTCTTAAGTAAGCGACCTCTCAAGGCCCGAACAAGAAAGCAATTCAGCCCCGAGCGAAGGAGAGAAGGAGGAAGGCACTCCCTGCTCTGCCTCTTCCCTGGCCAGGACAGGACATGGCTTTTTATGCAAGGCCCCGGAGAATCCCGAGCTGATAAAGGCCCATTGTGGCAGCTTCTGGAGAAATCCAGAGGCCACCGGGGTGGGGGTGGGGGGCCTCTGAGACTAAATAGCCAGTTAACAGCCCTCGGACACTTGTGGAAAGAATTAGCTGGCGGAAGTTGGGACAGAACGAGGCCCCCGGGCTGCCCCTGGCATCGTCCCCAGCAGGCAGGCCAAAGGCAAAACCAGCAGGAAGCTGGCCTGTCTGCGGCTAGGAGGGCGGGTCTGCGATGCAGGGGGGACGGGAGACCCGTGGACGGCACCCCTGCACACACCTGGAGGCTGAAACCCAATCTCCCGCCAACTGCAAGGAATACAACTGCTCTTTTTAACAAGGGCCCGGGGAGGAGGGGGTCTCCCAGCCCTCGCCGCGCCCCCACAAGGGTGTCCAAAGCAATCAACGGCAGGAAAGGAGGAAGGCGCCTGTCTGGAAGCTATTGAGAAGTTCGTTCTCTGCTCAGGTCTCTGTCTCACGGTTCATGGTTCTCAGGCCTCACCGTCCTTACGGCAGAGAAACCGGGGTGGGGGGGGCGCTCCTGGAGACGGAGGGCAGCGGGGCAGGAGCTAGGGGTCTGGGCTTGACAGGAGCTTTGGGGCTATCAGGCAGGACCAGGCTCCGGTGGGAGGTGGGAGGGCAGCCAAGCCCATTATGCTTGGCTGAGTGCCGGGGGGGGGGTGGGGTGGAGGAATGGGAAGGGTCTAGACTAGACCCCGGCTGGGAGGCCCTGGGAGGAGGGGAGCAGGTGCAGGGAGTGTGGGGGGGGGGGGAATTCAGGTCAGAGGCCAGCCTGCAGAGAAGTCTCTTACATGGCTCTCCTTGGCCAGGCGGGGAGCCCAGGGGTTAAACTGAGCGCAGCGGGTAAAGCAAGGGTCAACACGAGTGCTCTCCCTGCCCCTGCTGTTTCCGTCTCATTCCTAAAAGGACGTCAGGTGGGTGACCAGTTCATTTCTCTGCGGTAGGTCTGCTTTCCCTCCCCTTCATCTGAAATGTATCCAACTGCCCCCCTCAAATGCTGAGTCCCTTCTAACAGAGTAGGACAAACCGACCCGAAGCGATCTGACGGACGCGGAACTCGAACTTGCATCCAAGGAAGGCAACTGTACCCGCGCCCCACGGGATGTTCGCTCCCCTCCCATTGGGGGAGGGCACTGCCAACAGACACTGGGGTGGGCAGGCCTACGGTTCCCAGTCGGGACCAGTGGCACCAAGGGCCACTGAGGAAAAGTGAACTGATCTGTACTCCTGTGGCCCGAACCCGACCCGGTACGAGTGAGACCCGTGTCGGGCCACGGCTGGGTCTGAAACCTGGCACAACACCGTGCTCTCTCACACCACAGCACCTTCGGCCTTGCCGGAGATGCTGTCCCGGCTGGGGACGCAAACACCTGCACGTGCAAATGGCTAGAACGTTCTGTCCTAATCCCACAGCTCCCACAAACAGAACAAAGCCTTCAGACAGAGCTGGGTGGCCTGGGTGTCGTTTATTGACAGCAGATGACAGTGTTTGCTTTTTCCCCAAGGTCGTTTCCTTCCGAGCGCAGGCACGGAGTCGTCTAGAAGGGCAGCCTCTGAGCGACAGGGCTGGGAGCACGGGACGCACGTCCTTGGCAGGCCATGTTCAGGCCGGCTGGACCCCAGTGGGGTGTTCTGAGACACGGGAGGCGGGTCGGGTGGACGGGAAGTCTGCTCGCTCGCTGTCCAAGCCCATCCCAGTGGCGGGGCCCTGGGGGGGCAGCGAAATCGGCCCACCCACCGTCCCAGCGGCAGATTCTTCGATCCGCGCCCTACTGCTCACACCTGCTTCCGCCGGCCCCGGGGTTCTGGAGAATCGGCTTTAGAAGAGAGGACTTCCGAGCGGGCCCCGCCCCGCGCCTCTTCGGCTGCATCGGTGCAGAAACTGCCAGAAAACACGGACACCTGTGCTCTCGGTCCAGCCGCGTGTGCCATCGCCCCCACATCTTGAACGAGGGACAGGCTGGAGGCTCCTCGTGTCTCCGGGCTGACCGCCGCGCACCCCCAGCCCCTTCTTCTGCCAACCCCCGCTGCGGTGCCGGCGGGCCCCAGGCTGCGTAGGCACTTGGCAATTTGTGGGGTGGGGGGAGGGAGGTGGTTCAAAAAGTGGGTGGAAATGGGAAGAAGGAAAAAGCTTCGTCTGGTAATGAGAGATCTGAAGCGATTCCACTTTATTTCCTTCACTTTTAGCCAATCATGAAATTTCACAGTGATTTCTGGGGCAGGGGCGGGAGGACGGCGGGGCTCGGGAGCCTCGGGGCCGCGGCCCGGGCGGCCTCACTGGGGCAGCTGCAGGAGCACCGACTGGCCGGCCGGCAGGTACGTGATGTTCCGGGAGCGCGAGAGCTGGTAGGCGATGTCCTCCGCCGCCTCCAGCTTGCGCAGCTCGATGAGGCCGTCGCCCGCGGTGGCAAGCGAGTTGGCGATCAGCTCGGCTGCCTTGGAGTCACCCTCGGCGGAGATGATGGCCGCCTTCTTCTGCTGCTCGGCCTAAGAGGGGGCGCAGGGGGGAGACCAGGACACCTGAGGACGCCGAACGGCAGGCGGGACTCTCCGTCCTCCCCCTCCTCCTCCAAGTGCACGTCCGCCCAACCCTCTTTCTTTCCTGCGACGCGGCGCCCACCTCCCGGGGCTGCAGGGCTCGGTTTCTGTTGGCGTGTAAGTATCTGCCTCATTTCAAAATTCCCGTGGACGTCAACAGCGAGCCAGCCCGGCCAGCTTGCTCTGAGCCCGGCAGATCCAAGCCGGGGAAGACGGGACAGGGGAAAAAAAGGGCAGAATCCACCCTCAGGCTCACCTTTCCCTCCAGCCCCGGGTCAAAGGGACTTTCATCAAACAAACCTGTTTGATGAAAGAGAGCAGCAGGCGAGGGGTGACAGGCTCGCGGGACGCTCCCTGGGGCCCACCCTGAGCTAGGCTGGATCCTGACCAGGAGGCCAGGCGACAGGATAAGATCCCCTAGGCTCTCCTCACCCGTGTCGGACATCTATCCGCAGAACACGACCTGTCAGAGGTCGCGGGAGGCGGGTACCGTGTCGGCAAATGTTAAATGAGCACCTATGAATCTCCAGGCTCGGTCTTAGACATGTTCTAGGCTCTGGAGGTTAAGCGGGGGAAGCAACCAAGTCCCTGTCCATGTGGGGTTTACGTTCTCTAAAATGAAATGCTGGCCACCAATATGTCGCTCTTTACCTTGATTCAAAGGACTAAGGGCTCTTTGGGTTGGGATGGACCCAAGAAAAGCCGGCGGTGGGGGGAGGCAACGACAAGAAATAACTACACCTGTGGCAGGGCCAGAAGACCGGGCCGCTAAGCGAATAGATCATGTCCCAGCGCACCCTGCCCCATCTGCACGGACTTAGTGCTCGAAAGCGCTTCAGTGACTAGAGCGCATCTGGCCCAACATCTGATCCCTTCTGCTGTCAGCTTTCACTGGCGTCACCACGGTTAAAAATGACTTCTCAGTGAAGCTGAAAATATTCCAGGAGAAAACATCTTCTATTTGTAGGAGGCGTGTTTTTGATCTTCGGGGACGTGGAAGATAGATTACCCTTCGGTGATTTGGGAGCGGGACTTCACATCCCCTCCCCCACCCGGCCCCAAAGGCTCTGGAACCAATTGCACGGAGTGCGGTTCCTTCAAGCCCCTTCCGATGATCCCGGAAGAGGAGATGACAGCCGAGGAGTTTGCAGGCCACCCAGCAGACGGGGAGGCCCAGCGTGGGGGAACGGGGAGGGCGGCCCCCACCATCTGGCTGAACGCTCACCTTCTCCACCACAAATCTGGCCCTCTCCGCTTCCTGCTGAGCCACCTGCTTGGCTTCCACCGCTTCTGTGAACTCCTTCCCGAAGGTCAGATGCGTCTACGGAGAGAGAGGAAGCGCGAGATGAGGCGGCGTCCCTGCTCAGGCGGTGGCGCCACCGGGAGGCCCCCACGGGCGCTGGAAGAGGCCAGGAATGGCTCTAGCAGCTGGAGGCCTCTGTGAGGCCAGAACGCCCTTCCACCTCCACATCCGTGGCCAAACCGAGCTCACCTCCCCCAGAAGCCTCAGCTGCCCCAACGGCTCCCGCACGCCCTTCCGTCGCCCTCGGTGTGGAGATGTGACACAGAAAACCGCCCTGGGCCACCAGAAGGTACCTGCTCGACTGACCTCCTCCCAAGTGGGGGGAGGCTGGGGGCTCTAGGACCCCTCCACCTCCAACCAGGGCCCATCCTTTGATGGCCTGTTTGAAGCCCCCCAGAGAGGCCAGCTGGAAAACTGAGCCCCTGAGAGTGAGGGAGGCAGCTGGTTCTCAGGGATTCAAAGGCGTGAGGCTCTGTGCTTATGGCTTAACCATCCCCGCCTTTCTCACAGCAGCCCCACCACCAAACGGGAAGCGGGTGAGAGATGGTGGGACACAAATCATGGTGCTCCCTGTGTGTGAGCACTTCTGGTAAAGGGTTTAAGAGGGAAGGCAGGTAAAGCCATTGCTTAGGGTGAGGGTTTACAATGGACGACACACAGACCTTCCCTAAGAACACGTACAGCTGAGACTTGGCTGAGGCGACGGTCTGCAGTGACAGCAGAAACGAGAACAGAGCTCAACTCAATGCAAGACTAGAGCAACTTCCTTATTTATCTCACTTTTTATTAAAAAGGAAGAAATGAAGGGAAGAATGGTATTAGTTTTGCTATCAAATTCTGCTTGCTTCATCTCTTCCTCACCTTCCCAACCTCTGTTTTTTGAAAAAAGGAAAAACAGGGGTGCCTGGGTGGCCCAGTTGGTTGAGCGTCTGACTTTGGCTCATGTCATGAACTTGTGGTTTGTGAGTTCGAGCCCCGCGTCAGGCTCTGTACAGACAGCTCGGAGCCTGGAGCCTGCTTCGGATTCTGTGCCTCCCTCTCCCTCAGTTCCCCCCACCCCACTCACACTCGGTCTCTCTCAATAATAAAGACTTCAAAAAATTTTTAAAAAAAGGAAAAACATAAGCAGCTCAAAACTTCTCCTCAAGAATAAATCCTAGTCCCACTGTCTTCCATAACCTGTTACATGCCTCACTCTTCAACTGCAGCTGTTCTACTCTGCCTGTTCCATTTCTGGACCCGTGTTCAAAGTCCGGGGAAGAAAATACAGCCCTGAGAAATGAGAAATGAAATGTGTAATTAAGGAATAAAACTTCTTTCTAAAAGGGCCAGGTGAGGGCAGCAAATTCCCCACGAAATCTAATTTTCTTCTCACACCTCTTAGATATGGTTTCTTGTGGTCAGCCCACATTTCCCCAGAATGGAGTATGTGGTTACAGTCTAGCAAGCTGCCAAGCTTCTCCTTAGGTTTTTACTTAGCATTTTCTCACAGCCAGGGTGTCTGGGTTAACAGTGAGTGGGAGAGCCGGAGGAATTGCCCGGGTTAAGGGAGCCAGAAGGCTGTAGCTGGCATCCCGCCAGCAGAGGGAGCCCACAGGCCCTTCCGCGCCGCCCCCCACCCCAACCTATGCAAGGTGGAGCACAGCGCCCCAAGGTCAGTGCCGGGTGTCTGCAGAGCAGGGCTGTTTAAACAGCTGCACAGATGCTGAGCTGGAAATGGCGCCTTTCCCTGGTGACACGCAGGAAAAAGAACAGGAAACACTACCTCGCTGCCCGAGCAAATCATTCCAAACAATTTTTCCCAGAGAATCTAGAAACACGACCCCTTCCCCTCACCCTCCTTGATCTGAAACGCTATCCTGCCTGTATTGCTTTCTGTCTGAGTTATGGCACTCAGAGTCATATAAATACACATGCTACACAGCCTCAAGAGGGTAACTTACACCTCAGACGTGTCCCTTGGCCCCCACACCAGGCTTCGGGGAACAGAGCCGTTCATTTACACTCGATCCCCTTTCACTGGGCGTTCCCAGAGCTCACCTCACGGAGCTTCGGACCCTAAATGTTAGGAAAGCCCAAGGGGTCAGGCTGGGAGGTCCGCGCTAAGGGAGAATGACTGGCTGAGCCTTCTCTAGTCTCACTTGGCAGTTTCCTCCTGCAGCCAGAGGGGTTAACAAGACATCACTTCTTCAGGAGCTCTGGGGAAAGCTCATAGTTGGGGGGAGGCGAAAAACCTTGTGGTCAGGGACCCTACCGGCCGGTAGGGCTAGAAGCCAAAAGAAAAATGTGCGTGGGGGCGCCTGGGTGGCTCAGTCGGGTAAGCGTCCGACTAGGGCTCAGGTCACTATCTCACGGTTCGTGGGTTCCAGACCCACGTCGGGCTCTGCGCTGACGGTGCGGAGCAGAGGGGAAGGAAAAGAACCCTCGCCTGAAAACAGACCCAAGGAGACCGTCTCACAGTCAGGAAGTTTCCACGTTTTCAGGTCTCCTGCCTGGGCACATGGAAGGCAGGACCTTACCGCGTCCACTCGGAAACGGGGCCAAGCGCCTGAATGAGAAAGGCAGCCCCTCCCCCCGCAGCCATCTTACCAAGGACACATCATCCAGGATGAGCCCGAAGGTTGCTGCTCGCTCCGTGAGGTCATCGCTCACCTGCCTGGAGACCAGCTCCCTCTGCGTGATCAGTTCTCCAGCATCAAAGCGAGCCTGGTGCCGGGGGTGGGGAAGGCCAGAGGGCCGGTCAGGACGATGGGGAGGGAGCAGAGAGGGGAGCAGGGCGACGACAACGGGCCGCACCCCCCGCCCTCCCACCGCCCGTTTCTCTCTCTCGGGGACCACACTCCGGGCCGCGGCCCTGTCACTCACCACCACGGACTTGAGGATCTCCGTCGTGATGGACGGGAGCACCCGCTCGTCATAGTCCTCCCCGATGCTGGTGAAGATGCGGGGAAGCTGGCTGGCAACTGGCCGGAAGAGGATGCGCAGGGTGATGTTGACATTCTGTAGGTCTTAGGAGAGGGGACAAAGGCTGGAGTTAAAGAGAAAAACCACGGTGGCCTTCGACCCCTCCCACCCCAGCCACACTACAATCTGTAAGTAAAGTTGCTGATTTTAAAACCCTAGAGGCCAGGAGCCCCTGTGCACAGCTTCCTTGTCACAGGAGCCAGCAGAGCCCCGGAGTCAGGAATTCTTAAAGGTCCCCGGGAGGAGGACAGCTCTTCAGCACGTCCTCGATGTCCTCTGGCATAAGCATGTCAGAGTTCGTGTCTAACGGGCACCGTGGGAGACGCGGGGAACAGGGCATGGTTTTTTTTTTTTTAATATTGTGCATTTTTTTTTTTTTTTTACAAATAGTTTATTGTCAAATTAGTTTCCACGTAACACTCAGTGCTCATCCCCACAAGTGCCCTCCTCCATGCCCATCCCTCCTCCCCCCCACATCCATCAGTCCTCAGTTTTTCTCAGCATTCAAGGGTCTCTCATGGTTTGCCTCCCTTTCCCCCACCATTTCCGCCCTTCTTCTCCCCCTTGTTCCTCCGTCAAGTTCCTCCTAATCCTCCTATACGTGCAAACATATGATATTTGTCCTTCTCTGCCTGACTTATTTCGCTCAGCATAACACCCTCAAGGTCCATCCATGTTGCTACACATGGCCAGATTTCATTGTTTCTCATTGCCATGTAGTATTCCATGGTATAGATAAACCACATCTTCTTGATCCATTCGTCTGCTGATGGACACTTAGGCTCTTTCCATGTTTTAGCTATTGTGGAGAGTGCTGCTGTGAACATTGGGGTACATGTGTCCCTATGCCTCAGCACTCCTGTATCCCTTGGGTAAACTCCTAGCAGTGCTATTGGTGGGTCATAGGGGAGTTCTAGTGTTAGTTTTTTGAGGAACCTCCACAGTTTTCCAGAGGGGCTGTGCCAGTTTACATTCCCACCAACAGTGTAGGAGGGTGCCCGTTTCTCCACACCCTCACCAGCATCTAGTGTTCTCTGGTTTGCTCATTTAGCCACTCTGACTGGCGTGAGGTGGTATCTCAGTGTGGTTTTGATTTGTATTTCGGAACAGGGCATGTTTTAAGAACACAGGCCAATGCCAAGCATTTTAGCGTGAAGCCTTTCCAAGGCCCCGCTCAGGAATCCGCCCTGCAGAGGTGGCCGTGGGTCCAGCGGGAACGGTGTGCTCTGGCCGGGCCGCCAGGCAGTCCCAAGGCCTGTTTACTAACCGTGTGACCTACGCCTCAGCCGATCTCAGCTTATCTCCTTGTCTGTAAGAATGGGGGTGATTTCATCTGCCTTCCAGGAACGCCAGGGGAAGGTGGAGGAGAAACTTAGATAGAACAGCGACAGATGTAAGGGGTTATCGGGCTCATCTGGAGCGCGCTTCTCATTACCTGATCCAGGCAAAGGAGGGGGACGGGGAAGAGGGCGCATGACATTAATGACAACTTCCCCTGACAGCACAGGCCTGCCCGAGGCTAACGCGCGGCCAGTGTGTTTGCAGTCATCAATGACAGGGACGCACAAAAAGGTTCTGAACCAGAGAGACACCCAGGGAAGCGGGAAATGCATGCATACTTGGCTGCTGATCTTCGGAAGTTCCCATTGATGGTTCTGGAGACAGGGAAGTAATGCATCCTTACCACAGGTGAGAAACAGTAGAGAAAGCAATCCCAAAGCAGTGGGAAGTTTAGAGCTACGCCTTTAAGTTAAAAATTTTTAGTTGGGGCGCCTGGGTGGCTCAGTCGGTTGAGAGTCCGACTTCGGTTCAGGTCATGATCTCACAGTCTGTGAGTTTGAGCTCCGCGTCAGGCTCTGTGCTGACAGCTCGGAGCCTGAAGCCTGCTTCTGATTCTGTGTCTCGTTCTCTCTCTGCCCCTCCCTCCCTCATTCTGTCTTTCTTGCTCTCAAAAATAAATGAAACATTAAAAAATTAAAAAAAAACTTTTTATGTTTCTCGATTAAACCCCACCCCACTTTGATCTCCTCTTCTGTAAGGAGCAAGCCAGACCCTGGAGCCGGGAGCTACGGGCCAGGCTGCGACATGCCAATCTACCTGCCCCCTCCTGTGCATCACACAGGTCTCTCGCTGAAGTCCTGGCTCAAACTAAGTTCCTCCCAGGAGCCTGGCCAGCCTCCTGTGCAGGTGAGGTGTTCTCTCCTCTGCTCGCCTCCACCCCACACCTACCGTAACTGCCTGTCCACGTGTCTACGTCCTGAGCGAGACTGAACTCCCAGAGGTCCCCCGCTTCAGTCATCTTGGAACCGCCCTCTGCCCCGCGACCCGGCACAGCACCCGGCAGGGTCACAGGAAGCACACGCCTGCCGGGGAGTAGCACCAAAGGCCTCAGTGCTCCCGAGATCATAACCCCAACAGCCATACGACCCTCGCCTCTTGCTGTGCAGAAATGTCACCGCTGGGCTAGCACCTGCCGCCCCAATGACTGCCTGGGCGCCCCACTCTGTGTAGGATGGCGGGGGAACAGCGATGGCAATATGTTTGGGGCTCACCAGAAACATAGAGGCATGTCAGACCCCAGGGGACTGACTACCCTCAGGGACTCAGCCCCAGCCTGTGAGGGAAGAGGGTGAGGCCAGCCCTGCTGGAGACAGAGGCCTTGGAGAAGGCGGCAAAGGGTAAGTCGGCCGCGAAGGCACACGGGGTGGCTGGAGGCTGGTTTACACAGTCACCCCGGGGTTACAAGAACAGACCGTAAGGGTTGACTGACAGAGCAGAGGCACTTCCGGGATTCTTTAAGATCGGAGCGCTACATAACTCTTGAAATCGCTCTCTGTGTATTCCCCTAGAACTATACAGCTGTGTGCGGACATTAGGTACGTATTTCCGCGAATCCGTGTTAGAGCTCTCCAGGAATAACGTACGAGGAGTTGTTGGGGGAGGGCCAGCCTCTTCCGGATCCCATGGTGAGCCCAACACACGCTACTTTACGTGACCCACAGGCAAGACTCACCTTTGCTGCCAGTGATAACCGGCACGTTACGTGGTCGAGAGCGGCAATCGAAGATGATGGGTTTCTGTACCCAAGGGATGAGGAAATGGGTCCCCTCTCCTACCACGATGTCTTGCACCCCACGGAACCGGTCAAAGATGACAGCTCGGTGCCCGGCATCCACTAGGAACGAAGGAGAAGGACAAGTCATAAAACCCCCTTCACCTTTGAACCAAAAAGGCTACCTCTGAAAGATCCTTGGTGCCTTCTGCTATTTACTAAGTCTCCCCTCTCCTGGCTCCGTCTTCCCACTCTTCTGTCTCTAGAGGCTTCTACAGAGCTCCAGAACTCAGCAATCCCTTCCCTAAGACTCCAGTAATAGGATCTATTCCTCGGGGTCCTTTCTCCCCGAAATGACTAGCTGCTGATTTTCTGATGAACCACCCCACCCTTCGACACATTTCCAGGAAGTCACCTCCCAAAACTCACCAAGGGCTTCACCATTCCCACGTCCCACCCTGGTTCCAACTGAAGCCCGTGTCCCCGCAAGCAGCATCCTAACCTAGCTGCGGAAACCCTAAAATTTGGAAGGCCCCACTCTTTCCAAGAGCATGGTGTCTCCCAGGCTTTAAGGATTTCTAGAGCTGTCCTTTTGACTCAGAGAGAAATCAGTGACTCAATTCCTGTCTCGTGCTCCCAAGATCAGAGAATAAAGCTCTGCCACTTGAAACAGGTAAGCTCTGCTCGTCAGCTGCTCCGTGTCTCTGCCTTAGGAGACTTCAGAGTTGCTCCCCAGATCTTTACTCTGAAAGCTGAAACCCTCCTCTTGACAGTCACCCCCGAGGCGGACCAATCTGTCGCTGCTTTCCAGTCATGAAAGCCAGAGAATGGCGGAGCTGGAGGGAGTCTTAGACATCAACCAGTTTCATCCTATTGCTCGACCAAGGGGGAAGCTGAGGCCGGGGAGGGGGAGACGGCGCCCCTAAGGTCACACAGGAAAGCAGACGGAGTGCTGGTGTAAGCCCCTGTCACGCTGTTAAAAGCTGGGCGATGCACCCCAAAGGTATTCTGTCTGGAATGACCCAACTGCCACAGAGCAAGAGATCTGGGCTCCAGACAAGGTCACCAAAGGTCTAGAGCCCTTGCTGAGTTACTCCACACAGAGGTGGAAGGGGACAAATGAGCCTTCCCTTTCAGCTAGCCAGCGAGGCCTTGACATTCTGCTGCGTTGCATCAAACTCAAAAGAGTGACCGGAAACATCTAACCAGCACGTAGTCCGGGAGGTTCACTGTGAATAAAGGCTCGGAGAGAACCTGTGGCCCCACGGGCAGAGGCTCTACTGACAAGGCCACCCTGTGGAGTGGGGTGGGGGCAGGTGAGCCCCCTTGGTCACAAACATATTCAGAGCCAAGAGCCGCCACCAGGAGCGTCACACGGGCTGTGCAGACCCATGGGGATCCTCCGGGCAAAGGGTGGCCGCCCCCTCCCCAAGTGCCTCACCGTTATACAAGGCAGAGTTCACCACTCCTCCCGCCACAGCCAAGGCCAGGCCGAACTTGCCGATGGACTCAAACACCTTGGCAGCCATGTCTCCTCCTGCTTGACCCACTCACACCTATGGGGGTAAAAGCAAAACAAAAACAACTTGATCCCCAACCTAAGGGAAAGCCTTCTCTGAGGCACCACATTCACTTCTCAAGCTGGCGATTTAGTCCCCCAGTCTTAATTTTCTTTCTTCTTCTTCTTTTTTTTAAATGTTTTTTATTTATTTCTGAGAGAGAGAGGGACAGTGTGAGCAGGGGAGAGTCAGAGAGAGAGGGAGATACAGAATCTGAAGCAGGCTCCAGGCTGAGCTAGCTGTCAGCACAGAGCCCGACACGGGGCTCGAACCCACGAACTGTGAGATCATGGCCTGAGCCAAAGTCGGAAGCTCAATCGACTGAGCCACCCAGGTGCCGCGTTAGTCCCCCACTCTTGAGAGCTCTACAAATCACGCACTGACACTTAATAAATAACTCCAGAGCTTGGAAAAGGGCAGTATCCATTCTTCTGCTTTAAAAATGTTTTTCGGGGCGCCTGGGTGGCTCAGTCAGTTAAGTGCCCAACTTCAGCTCAGGTCATGATCTCCGTGGTGATTCCAACAGCAAAAGGTGATGCCAACAGCTAGCTTTTATACCAGGAGGCAGTCTCCTAACGGCACCTATTTAATCCTCACACCAACCCCTATGAGGTAGGTTATTACAGATGAGGAAACTGAGGCACACAGCAAGGTTACAGGAGAAGCCTAAGATCCCGCAGATATCTAAGCGGTGGAACCAGGATTAGAACCCGGCGGTCTGATTCTAGCCCGCACAGCCTAACTCCTCACCATACTGCTTTGCCTCATCAGATATTAGGAATGACCTGTTATGGAAGCAGGAGGTGGGGAACATTCTGGGACCAAGATAACTGAAGGCTCTCCGTGGCTGCCCGGCAAGGGAGAACCCGGGAAGAAGCGGGAGGGCGGAGCTGAGGCGCGGTGGGCGGGAGCAGGACTGACCTAACTGGAATCTACTCCTGCACTTAACTTTTTTTTTTTTAATTTCTTGTTAATGTTTATTTATTTGAGGGGGGAGGGGCAGAGAGGAAGACACAGAATCAAGAGCAGGCTCCAGGATCTGGGCTAACAGCACAGAGCCCGTGCGGGGCTCGAAACCACGAACCCCAAGATCATGACCTGAGCTGAAGTCGGACACCCAACGGTATGAGCCACCCAGGCGTCCCCCCACCCCCACCCCTGGCCCCGCACTTAACTTTTTAATGCTCCGCCCCAGGGTCGTCGTCCACTTCGGATTCAAATCCTCCCTCCCGCCCTCCAAGACCTCAACTCCTGAGTCTTCCTGGATCACTCCCCGCGCATTTCTATTTCCCTTTCCCGAGCCCAAGACACCCAGTCTCGACCCCTCAGCCTTTCCATTTCTAATATAGCTTCTGGATTATTCCTCACCCCGCCCCCATACACACCTTCCTCACTCGACGCAACCCCAGCTCGTCCCGGGGTCACTCCCTCTCCCCTCCAACACGAGGCGGACCCATGCGCGCACCCCGCCCGCCCAAATTGTGAATGAGAATGCGGCAGGACGCCCAGATCGCAGCTCGAGCCACTTCCCTGCACGCTCACCTGCTTCCACTCTGACCTCCACATGAATTCCCCAGCCACACGCACCACGCATGCGCCGCGCAGCTCCTTCTCTTCCCCGCCCCCTTCCAAGATCCAGGCCTCCGATTGGTGGGGGAGCGATGTGCATTCTGGGAAGGGTGGCTTTCCGCCTTACCCTCGGTCCCCCGGCTCTTCCCAAATGGACTACAATTCCCAAAAGGCCATGCAGCGTCTGGCCCGCGCTGAAAAGCCTTTCCTCTTTGGTGGTAAACACGGAGTGGTTGTCGAAAAGCCTTTTGGGGGCTGTAGTTTCTTGCGGGGGATACACGCACGTGCCTGTCCAGAACCAATGCTAAGTCCTGCCAGAAGATGGGCCCTAGGGCCTCGGGAAGAGTGGCTGGGCGTACGGCTGGTGGCAGGGATGGGCTGGGGCAAGTTTACAGCTGGTGAAGGCGGACGGGTGAGCACCTTGGAGAAAGTTGTGGTGACAACTGGTGGGCGGAGAGGCCTTGAGGGAAGCAGATGGGGCCATCTTTCCAAAGTCCTGCCAGGAAATGTCCTGAGTCGTGGGACATCGATTGCCAGAACCAGAAAGAACCGTAGAACCATCTGGGCTAGAAAAAGTGGACTAGAGACAGGAAGGGATACATTCAGGGTCACACTCTGATTTAGCAAATGCGCCTGGCTTAGAATCCGGGTCTCCTGGACACAATTAAAAAACAAAAAACATATGGAAAAGTTGCAAGAATAATACAAAGAACACGTAAGTCCTTTACTCAGACTCATCTGTTGCTAACATTTTGCTTCATTTGCTTTATGTGTTTTCTCTCTCTCCTCCCGACTTTTCTGGCTGTATTTTCTTTTTTTTTTTTCTTTTTTTTTTTTTTTTT